CCCCCCGACTCACCATGACTGGGGGCAGGGATGGCTCCTCCTGTCCCTCTTTTGCCTGATATCACGACATTAGGGATTACTTGTTGCCCTCCCTTCCTCAGAACCCCATCTCAGTTATAAAGTGCTTCTTTTTTATTCTTAGTTCTAACTCTGACCTGCAAAACATGTCTCAAATTTTAAATGAGGGGCCACGCTGTTCTGGAATTTCAGGTAACAAAACTGGGCTTGGGGAGGAAACTGCAGCTTTCCTATGATTCTATTATATATAACAAGACAACCTGCATGCAGGAAGCCCATTTAGTGTCTTTCAGATAGTGCCTGACTTCTTGGCAATGGCAGAGAACCTCATTCTATCAGTCTCTGAATCCTGTCATGATCCTCATTGACAGAAGCAAGCCACATTGTAGCTATGTACCCTAGGAAGGGGTCAGGATCCAGTGAGGGAGGCAGAAAAAAAAATATCTCTCCCTGGAAGCAGGAGCCAGAGACAGACAGAGAAGCCTCAAGCATCTGAACTGGTATGGTCTAGAAGGGAACCTGGGTCTAAGAAAGGAAAGTTCTTAGGGAAAGGCTTTGAGATTGAAAAAAAATAATTTTCTGTGTTGAAAATGGAGGAAGACACAATGACACAGTGCTTCTGGATACCATTTGAGTTGTTTCTCTTTGCATACAAATAATTTTTTCACTGATGATTCAGTTTTGTATATTCTCTTTGGGAAAGATCAGGATAAGACAAACTTGGAGAAAGAAGAGACTGAGAAAATAGATGCTGTATTAGAACAGAGGTTGGGAGAATCTTTGAATCAAAATAGAGAACCTTCAGAGCAATTCAATCTGGTACTTACAATAACACCAAAAGAGATAGTTCCAGATGAGAAAAGTCCACAGAAGCTTAAAGGTATTGCAAAATGGCAGCCCATTGAGATGCTGGAGAGAAAGTCCAGCTATAGGCTAACTTTTGTGTATGTGTGTGTGTTGTTAAGGTTCAATTACTAGATGAAGGTCTGTACGCTAAAAGTAGAAATGCTGATCCTGTTTAGTGTTGTCTTGTAAGAAGTTCATACAGTGGCTGGTGTGCTCCATGTCACAGAGTTTGGAGAACTGAAATACATGCACAATGCCATAGATTCATATTCAGAATTCCAGTGGGCTTTTGCCTTAAATTTTGGAGAGCATGATCCTAAGGTTACACATTTGTTAGAGATGGTAAATGTTTTGGAGGTGCCCTTGCAAATTAGGGCTGATGGTGCTTCAGCATGTATATCCATTAGAGTTCGACAATATTTTAGACATTATGACCTGAAACCTGTTATAGATATAACTTATAATCCTATAGGTCAAACAATTATGCAAATATCTAACAGTAATTTTAAAAAGATGGTCACAAAACAGAAGAGACATTCTCAAAATAGATTAAATAATGATTTATCAATTTAAAAATGTTTAAATGAGATAAGAAGCACTAAACCTGCTAAGACACAGTAGAATTTAGTGGAATTTAGAAAGAACTGCTGAATTAGAGCAGCATATAAAGGTCCTAATTCCAAAATGGAGAACAGGGAATATGTAATGCTAGGGAAGAGGCTTTGAGTATATTACTACTGGAGAAGAAAAATTATGGGTTCCATTAAAACTAATAAAAATCAGATATGATAGAGGAAGACCACCAGAAGATCTTGGCCACACACAAGAAGAGAGAATTCAAGAAAACAAAACAGAACAGGTAACATAAATTGCTGACCCCTTTACATGGGAACAACTCTGAAACTGACTGAGACGTAAAAATGTCTCCAGCCAGAACTTCAACAATGCATGGCCAATAAATCCTTGGCTACAATATCCTCAACATTTATTATGCCGTTCTTTTAATTGGCATAGATAAAATTGGCTTACAGTTTAGTTTCATCCTGTATATCTCATACATTTATAATTTTAGGATTGTATAATGCTTGTGAGAAATTATATGTTTGCAGAACAAAAGGACTGGACACTGGAGACGCTGGATCAACCCTGACAGAATTCATCCTTGCAGCATGCTGAGACATTGACACATCTGTTCCAGCATCGTGCATGTTCCAGCATTCTGCTTGTTCCTGCCTCAACTGCTTCAATTGCTGTTTCTCATCAAAGCTCCCAAGAGAACTTTGAAGAAAGCTGCTAATCTCAATTGGTCCAGCATTTTAGACTGTTACAAACAGGACTTCTATTAAGCCTGAAAACTTTCGACTAGACCAGAAATGTTAATGCTTGTTTATTTAATCATTTTTCCTAATTTCCTTTGGGCCCCCTAACAGGATTTCTGCATGTCCAAAAAGTCAGCTAGAAAAAAATTCATGAGAATGATATCCAGTTTCCTTTAAAGGGGGTTAGATGGGTTTTTGGTTGTTTTCTGTGGCTATGAGCATTTATTGTCATTGGGAGATGGGTATAAATTACTAATGGTCTTATTCAGAGAGAAAACAAGGTTAGATTCAGGGATTTCTCTTTTTTTTTCTCTTTCTTTTCTCTTTCTTTCTTAGATAAGGAGAAAAGGGGTTGAAAAGAAAGAAAGGGGAATACAGGAATATCATAGGAATAATAAGACAAAAGGTATATTATTGAATCTACTCAACTTAAGGCTTTATTTGTTATTCTCAAATAAGGTTATTTTTAAACTCTGGTATAGGAGTTTGTATACTGATGTAAAAGTAAGTCTATTTTAAATATATTGGTAAATTTTAGGATATTGATATAAATTCAATGCTTTTACTTCCAATACTTTTAAACTGCTATTACAAACTGTTTAGGTTTTAGGTAATGCAAGTTAATTGCTAGTTAATCAACTCATAGTTATGTCAGACACTAGTCTAATTTATCACAGGAGTATACATCCTAGGTTTAACAGATAGATACGATTCTGTAACAGGTTGATTACATAAAAATAGGTAAGTCTTCAAAAACTTCAGAGACCTATAGAATATGGCATTTTAAAATGTCTTTATTAAAGATTCTTGACAATGAGACAGGTCATCTCCTGGCAGCACCCTACCTACCTCAAAGAAGATGATGAGCATCGAAACACCTCCATATGGAGATGACTTCAAATGTGGCAAATAAGCCACCTGGGCAAAAAGAAAATTCCCTCATTTCTCGACAGATAGGATTCTGCCAAAAATTGGCAAGCTTAAATGCAGGACAAGTCGACTGTCAAACTCTGCCAAGACAGGGTAAGCAAGTCCTAAATAGTTCCTGCTTCATATTTATGTTTGTCAAATATACTGAGCCAGAAGGCTGAAGATGATGCTCTGGTATAGAGAGTTTTGGGTGATTGTTCAGGCAGCAAACTGTCTCTATCAGTTTTTTGGGTTATTTTGTTTTGTTTTGGAAGCTGCTAACATGCACTTCCTATATACTCTAATAACTAATTTTATTCCTTCTCAAGTCTCTGATGGGGTTGAAGACCAAATAATTATAGTGCCACAATTAAGCTTAAGTTGTTTAGACTTTAAGAAAGAGCTTTTATATAGTTAATACCAATAAGGATAAAAGTTAATTTAGGTATAGAACTCTAAACTTGTCAAGATAGGATAATCAGATACTTTCTCTTAAGTTGCCAAATACACATGGACTGGACATTGCACATGTAAATCTTACCTAATAGTTTTCATAATTTTATAATCATTATTATACTGAAAGAAAAAGAGACTTTTATTGGACTTAAAGGGGGAAATGTTGGTAGATGTTCTTGTGGAATATATATAATTTACCCTTGTTCATTCAAATGCTGATTTCCCTACCCTACTATCTGGTTTCAATCCAGACATTGCATTGTGATGAATATTCTAGGCATCACCTGCCTAAAGTTTGTGTAAACATGCCACCATATGTTCTCTGTATTTTCCGTAAAACAACAAGCCAATGCTGAGCAGTGGAGAGAATAGAGTGGGACATTCTGGTCTGGAATGGAGGAGAAAGAAGTGAGTGGGAGGGTTGGAGAAGAAAGATTGGCAGGACAGGACTTGGAACCATGAGGAGAGATGAACCAGATCCAAGATATGACTGAAAGCAAGTATAATGTGTAAAATCTGAATGGTAGGAAAGTATGTGGGCTTGGAGGCTTAGGATGGAGTAATCATTGCCCAGCATTGTGCTCTAGGTTAACTAAATATATCCTAGTCTCTGTGTGGTGATTTGGGTATACAGCTGGTTTAACTAAAAGATGAACCAACAGTAAATATTAATAATCAACAGCATTGTATACGTAGTGCCAGATCTTTTTTTCATTAGTTTATTTAATCACTTTACAGCCTGATTGCATCCTCCTTCCTCCTCTTCTCCTAGTCCCACCTTACAACCTCTCCTTCCACCCACCCCTTCTCTGAGAAGAGTAGCCCCCCCATGGGTACCAACCCATTCTGGCACATCAAGTCCCAGTAGGACCAAGTGCATCCTCTCCTACTGAGGCCAGGTAAGGCAGCCCAGCTAGGGGAAAGGGATCCAAAGGCAGGCAACAGAGAACCTCTACTCCAACTGTTAGGGGACCCAAATGATGACCAAGCTGCACATCAGCTACTTATGTGTAGGAGTCTAGATCCAGCCCATGCATGCTCTTTGGTGATGGTTTGGTCTCTGTGCCCCCATGAGCACACGAATTGGTTGACTTTGTAGGTCTTGTGGTGTCCTTGACTCCTCAGTTCTTCTCCCCACTCTTCCACAAGGCTCCCTGCCTATTCTTTGGTTATGGGTCTCTGCATTTGTTTCCATCAGCTGCTGATGGAAGATAGTTATGCTAAGCTCCTGTCTGCAGTCATAGCAGAGTATCATTAATAGTGTCAGGGGTTGGCTCTTTCTCATGGAGTGGGTCTCAAGTTGGACCAGTCATTGGCTGCCCATTCCTGTAATCTCTGCTCCATCTTTATTTCAACACTTCTCTTAGG